GTAATTTTTTGATGACGCGACCGGAATTTGTAACGAAAATCAGGGTGGCTGTAAAGATTTGCACCTGACTGTATATGTGACATGTATGATTACGACTTTGACATTTTATTACTAAACTTTTTAGAGCGTATCACAAGATTGAACGATGACATGCACTCTCTAGTATTCGATTAATATTTCTTGTGCGTGTAGTTGGAAGAACTGGTAAAGCTTAAAATAGACGTTGATTATTAAGTAGCTACACTCTTAAGAATTTCATTACCGAAATGTTTACCGGGCGGAGTATCTATGTGACTCTACTGCCGTGGTAACTTTTTGTTTACCGTGCGGTAACTATTTCCAAAGCTACTGACCCGGGATTGATTCATTATAACGCGGTATTAAAAACAGGTTTGCTGAGTAATAACAAAAACTCCTTTGCAGTAATAAATAGTTACCATTGTGTAATGCCATTGTTACCGCTTTGTGTATTACTCATATAATCTGGTATTAATATTATTACTGCCTGGGGGAATATTAATTATTATTGTGGTAATGATTACACTAAATTTGGTAAATATTCGTAAGAAATATTTTATTAAATCATATTTTTTAGCACGTCAAAATTATACACAATATTTTTTAGTAAAAATTTCGTAAATAGTAAATTAAACTTAAAATTTACAATTCCATCAGTAGTCGCAGGAGGTGTTCAAAATGGCAAAATCTCAACAATGGTTGCAGCAAATGACTTCTGATCTTGAGTTACTGATGAATTCCTAAATGAACAAGACAAACAAATTAAATTAATTAATCAATGAACGATGTTTTATGTTTTAAAACAAACTCACCCTTGTTGCCTATAAGTTATAGCTCGACCAGTTTGGCAGCAAACTTTGCAGTGACTAAAAGTGAAATTTACATTTTTAAAATTAATACGTTACGCTTTGCCACAAATAAATTAATTAGTATTAATCTAATTACCTTGAAATTTACCTTTAAGAACCAGCTCGAAAAGAATTCTAAACACAAACAAATTTTATTGAGAGCGAGTCGTGCTTTTGTATGTTGCGGTGTGAGTGCGCGTTAATTTTATTATTGAGTTTGAAAAAATATTTACCGGAGTAATAATAAAAATACACCGCATTCGAGTTTTAAGTCATTACCCGCTGGCTAAATGATTTAATACGGCGCAGTCTTATTCATGTTCTCTCACTGCAGTATTAATTTAACATAGCTTGGTAACTTTACGTTACCGTTCGAGGTTTCTCGATAATACCAAACAATAATAAATACATTTTTTGTATTATAATGAATTTTGGTAAACAATTTTATTACTGTAATGGGAAAATCAATGTTTACCAACTGCTCGGTAACAAACAACTTAGCATTTTTATTACCACAGTTCTAAGAGTGTACTTATTGTGATCGTTTTGTCCGTCCGTCCGTCCGTCAGCAGGATATCTCCAGAACGAGTTAACATAATCAAACGCCGTTTTCGACATTATGTTTCTAATTTTTAGTTCTCGGCCGAGTTCGAAAATGGGGTCAATCGGACCTCACCCTACTGCGACAGGGGGTGTGGTCGAAATTAAATTGGACTTTAATTTTCATATGGGGTGTCATTTTAAAGGAAATTTGACGGAGATTTCAAATATGTTAATATTTGTAACCTCATGACCTTGACGACGAGGTAAAAGGTCAAAAAATGCATAATTGTCATATGGGGTGTCATTTTAAAGGAATTTTGACGGCGATTTCAAGGACGTTATTATTTTTGACCTCATGACCTTGAGATCAAGTTCAAAAGTCAACACATAATTGTCATGGGATGTGTGATAATTTTATAGGAAACTTGAATCGCTCTGACGCTACTTTTTTATATTCGTTTGGAGGGTTTATTTTTCCTAAAGGGTTGGTTTCGTGATAGGAACTGTGTTTTGTTGACTTTCTTGGTTTCGTGCCAACCGCTAAACACGATTTCAAACCACTTTAACATATGTATTTTTCTGTTACGTATCTAGCAAAATTTACGCACGCTCACTCTTGGGAAACTGGTATTGAAATCTGGTCGTGGTACAGATGCATATGATATTAATAGTATATATTTAGTACCGGCATGGAAATAACGAGCATTCTGGTCTAGTAAAGTCATGGTAATGAGAATTTTACTACTCAAAAACGAACCTACCAATCCCGGAAAAATGTTTTATCAAATCAATATTAGTAGTATTACATATACTACTACATAGTACACTAAATTAAATATATGTGATAAACATTTTCTCAGGAATGACTAATAGTAAAATGTTGGATGACACTACTGACCGTGTAAAATTTACCCTATGCAAATTTCAATTTATCCAACGGTGCAGAATTTTCCCTCAACCATGATTAAATTTTGCACAAACCAGTTATATGTATCATCGAAAATTTTACGCAACCTTCCTTAGAGTTTACGTAAAGATCTATTCTTAGTACAGATACCCACCTAAGTACATGCATATTTACGTAATTATGTAGATACTTACATATAAAGTGAACCTAAGGGAACATTCATCAATTAAATATGTATGTATGTATGTATACATACATACATACGTACCTACAAAAAACTAGGGATATTGAAAAAAGGTTAACGAGATCCGACAAACTAAAGGTGACAAAATTGGGTTGGACTTTTATTGTCAGGTAGGATACCTTTTGTACTACATACAACATACCTATGTATGTACTGGCTGTTTGATATATGAAATGATGTGATATATGAAAAATGATCACAATGCACTCCCTGAGAACAAAGTTCTGTACCGCATTGAATAGGACACATTTCCACGTACGTAAATAGATAGCATATTTCTGTATGTAAATACATATATATGTATACATATGTATACATATGTATACATAAATGCATCTGTCACCGGTTAAGTTTTTTGCGAAGGTACCTATGTACATATATGTATATATCGGTTCACTTTTACTACTTCTACTTACCACGAAGTTACGGTAGTTACTTCCAATCTCTTCACATATGTACATGCACAATTTCTAAACTAAATCTCCTCAGAAAACGTTTACATATATAAATACATACAATTTTTACCTCCCGGAAATTTGAGTCACAAGTACAATAAATATTTCCAGTCTGTAATTCTTCCCAAATAAAATGTCCCCAGTTCGACCCACCAGGGAATTCACTTGTCCCCACTGTTCGACATTCTTCCCAACACGACGAATAGCTAATGCTCACGTGAGATCACACATTCCGGAAAAACCCCACCCATCAAAATCGTACCAGTGTAATGTGACCCCTTGCACCAAATCATTCTGCACTCTGGAACGTCTCCGGCGTCATCTGCATCTCGTACACAAAAATTGGAAACGATTCAGTTGCGATTTTCAAAACTGTGTGGTCACGTGCAAAACAAAAACTGCGTTAAAAGTGCACAAGGTGATGCACACGGGGAAAAAGAATTTCAAGTGCGGTCAACCCAACTGCGACAAAGGCGTACACGACCCAAGGCGGGTTGACCCTGCACCACGCCGCTGTCCACGTGGCGGCTCGTCTGTTCTGGTGCTACACGTGTTCGAAAGGATTTTTTACCAAACCAGGATTAAAGCAACATGTGAGAGAGGTGCATGAAACTGTAGAGCGAAAATTCGAGTGTACTTTATGCACGGCAAAATTCAAGGTACTAAAATTAAAATCATTTCGGAAATTAAAATTTAAGTGATTTTGTTCAAAATTTTGAATTCGGGAATTATTTTTTTTTAAGAAAAGGGACGGTTTGTACACACACATTACTTCTCACGTTGGCGAGAAGCCGTACCCTTGTGGAAAATGTTCTGCCGGATTTAGGACGAGTGGTTCTTTAAGAAGTAAAACTTGATTTATTTATATTTGCAAAGAATTCAGAAATTTAGCAATTTCTTAAAAATCTAAATAGATCACCAATACACCCACCGAACCGAGAACTCCTTTCCGTGCCAATTTTGCTCCAAAATATATAAACGCCCAAGCGATCGACGCACCCACATCCGAATGGCGCATCCCTCCACCCCCCACGCCCCCTCGAATTGTCCCACATGCGGAAAAACCTTCTCGAACGTCATTGTCCTCCGGAAACATGTCCGCCTCAACCACGGCGATCGCACTTTTTTCTGCTACTTTTGTCCCACAGTGGTCAAAAATTACAGGGTAAACCTCGAAACACACGTGCGCCTTCATACCCTCGAAAAACCCTTCGCTTGTAGCGAGTGCAAATATTCGACCGGGTCGCAACCAGGTCTCGGGTCGCACATGAGATGGATGCATCCCCCAATAATCGAGGAAGACATGGAGACTTGTTACTTTTGTGGGGAGAAGGTTCGGAAGCTGGAGTACGATTTGATGTCCCACATGCGCAAACACACGGCCGAGAAAGCTTTTTGTTGTGGGGTTTGTGGCAAAATGTTTAATTCCGTGAGAAAGGTGAAGGGTCACATTGACGAGGTGCACTCGAGGGGACGGAGGGTGAAATGAAGGCAATTTTACATATGTACTTATGTATTTGGTGGATTATGTACATACTTCTAATTTCTTGGAAAATACGTACTTACATATGCTTCAATCTTGAATTATGTACACTCTTGTAATAAAAAGTTACAATTTTTGCATCATATAAATTACATTAAAAATGTACATGAAATCTTGAAAGTTGTTTGACATACCTATGTAGCCAGCTAATCCGTCTAATCAGCTGCAAAAATAAAGAAATAAGGTTTCGGGAATTTCCACTTTGGTCGATTCTGTTATCATTTTTGGCATGACTATGCAATTTATTCCTCAAGTATACATACAGGTCTCGACAAAGCATATGTACATATATATTTTGAGAGTAATTTGGTAAAGATCTGTAAAGTATAAGTTCATCTACTGGCATACGAGACATTTTCATGTAAATTCGTGGCTCATTTTTCATGGAACATATATTTACATTCATACACGACGCAGCCAACAAAGGGGAACCGCGACGCATCAGCAGGTTTTTGTTTACAAATTCACATATCACATTTATAGTCGTGTTTCAATGTGTTTTGGTTGTTCCAATTGTTTTTCCAAGTTTACATTTTAAAATTTACTCTAATTAAAGATTGCCAATCTCGCTGAAGTGTCGATTTAAGTATTTGAAAGGTAAATTGACTCCAATCGTTTCAATTTAAATAGATTGTCTTTCATAAAATTAAGCAGCGCACATTTTTATATTTGTTGTATTTTTGTGTTTCTGATTTTAGACGTAACATAAATCCACCCAGGATGGAGGTGGGGACGTCCTCTTCACTAGAGGGGAAAATCTCTCCTAATTTTAGTAAATGATTCAAAACTTAATTCATAATTTGTAATTCTAAATATGGCGTGTTTTAAGCTAAAAACTTAAGATCGTTTCTTCATTCTTATTACATATTATTAGGAGCTAATTCATGTTCCGCTTTATTTGCTTAATTACAGATTCTCAAGTCGAGAACAAATCATCAGTCGACAATATGAGCGTGATGTCGAAAGCTTTACGGAATCCGTTGGTTAGTCATCACGATTTCTAAAATACCTTCCTGATTTAGAATAAAATCTTGAATTTCCACCAGATTCTCGACCACATCCTCGCCCTTCTTAATCTGACCGACCTGAAGATGTGTCGCCTTGTGTGTCGAAATTGGGCGGAAGTCGGCGGCAGTTTGCTAGGAAAGCGGACCTTTTTCCCCGTCACCCAGCTTTTCCGCTACAACGGGTCAAACTTATACCAGGCGACCCCCGTGACTCAAAATCTGATGCGGTGCATCACCATCTCCGATAAATTTGACCCCTCCGTCCCCACCTCAAAGAAAGCCACCGTGATCACCAAAATTTTCACCGATCTCCCCCATCTGTCCCAATTTACTCGCGAAATCCGCTTTCTCGTTAACCAGACTGAATTCGCGACCGCTTTTGTCAACGGGATGAGAAAACTCGACAAATCCGCGACGAAGATCCAACAGATTGATATATTCGTCTCGTGGATCCCGTCAATCGAGGAGTATCCAGCGTATACTGAAAAACTACCCTTTCTAACTAGCCTGACCTCCATCAAGTTTGTACTGCACGGCCTGACGCGACAAACGGGCGTCGACGTGCACGGGTTTCAGCCCCTCCTTCAAACCCTGCTGGACTCGGCACCCAATCTGACCACTTTAAACGTCGTCTCGCCTTACTACCCGAATCTGGAGGGATGCAAAAATCTCAAAGATCTCGACTTTTGCCTGATGAGGTCCGGCCATTCCAGAAATTTGGATATGGTCGATGCAATCGGAATGTTGGTGCAGGTAAAGGATTCCCTGATAGAGTTGAAACTAAGCTGCGGCGGGTCGGATGAGATCATGGCACAGGTAAAAAATTACATAAATTGCTTAATCGATAACAGATTTCACGTCAGTTTGTAATTACATATATGTAACTGGGTTACGTTTGTAAATACTCACGCCAAGAGGGTGTAAATTACACCCTCTTGAAGTGAATGAGTTGACATTGTAAATATTTTCGTACACATGTTTCTACTAAAAATATATTATGGAGTGCATAAAATGATAAATATAATAATTATTGTAGCAAATCGAGAATCTGGACGTTCCCGTGATGTCAAAACTTACGTCTCTCTCCATCCATCAAGCTGTGATGTACTTATTTCCCGATGTTTTTAACGAGGGTCACCTCCCAGCCCTGAAGAGCCTGGGTCTTGGCGTCATGACGCCCTCAGAGGGATTCCTTTTGTCGCAGCATCTCAATTTATGGAAGCGACATCGTGGAGTTAAATTTATAGATCTGGGCCTACACTTCTTGGAGGATGCGAACTCAATCGGGCAACAGATTGTCCAAGTATTTCCTGCCGTTAAGAAATTCGACCTTTGGGCAGTTCTCGGTTTTAAAAATTCCATCCAGGAGGTAAACGAGATAATGACGCCGTACCGAACCTGGGATCTGGAGGAGGCCAACTTTCGCGGTATCTATGTCAATGCGTCCTGCATGTTTGACGCAGTCCTGGAAAACATGGCGGCTTGGAAAGGTGAGGATTAAAATTGTGTCAATTACATAGTTGTTAATTTCTTGTATGTTTTCCACGTGGTCGAATTTCTTTGGAAGATATGCATGGTCCAAGAAATTGGCGTCAGTAGCGGTTTACCCTACGCTTGACTATATGCCCTGTCCGCTTGATAGCGTTTATTTCTAGTATTTCGTTCTGTCGTGGATTAAAATAACCTCAAATAACCTGCAAACAAATTATTACTCTAATTTTTTTAAAGGCAAAGGTGTTTTTAAAGACAAACATGATGATAAATATCTAATTTAACAAATTAAGATTTTAAACAAATTCTATTTATTTGTAATTTAAGAAAATTTTGAATAAGTACATATATATGTCTTTCAGGCGTTAAAAGGGTCCACTTCGAATATGCTGAAATTTTAGAAGACGAGTTCGTCTCCTGCATTGAAGATCTCATCTTACACAGCAGAGGATTTAAAAGTGTCAAAATCTGCGGCGATGTGGTACGCGACTTTTTAGTTTGAATAGCAATTGGTACGATTAAAAAAAATGGGCGTACTAAAGTTTTATCTTAAATTCAGGTGCCGGAAATTCTGGGCAAAATACGACCAATCCTTGAACGCAGCGGTGCTCCAATTCAGGTCACGGGAGGAGTGGTTCGCTGATAAGTTTGAGATTAAGAAATTCAGACTTCCACGTCAACATGGTCACTTATTCGTTATTTATGTACAACAATGTGTTTTCGATACATATCTATTTTCAATGTCTTGGTAATGAAGTACAAATAGCATTGGAAATGTTTACAAATAAAGTAAACTTTTTCATCATTTCTGAAACTTCCGTGTAATCTAATTAGTATTTATTTATGAAATATTTCAATAAATTTTATGTTCTTAATTTTCAATAAATAAAATAGGGGTAGCATACAAAGAGACATGTGCAAATTAGAGGTCGACGCCAGAGAGTGCGGGTGCGTGGGACGTGTTTTTGGAGGCATTTTCGACTCATATGAAACTGGTGGATGAGAAGTATTGACATTGCATTTTGCTTACAATATTACACAACGAAAATTTCCATTTACATAATTCCTAATTAATGTGGCTAAATCTTGGGTAATACATACATAGATACTTTGAGTTTCACCTATTTTATTACTAAATATTTAACAAGTATATATTTCCTAATTATTTTCTTATTAATTGTAACTATTATTATTTATAGATATGTATGTAATTATCTACAAAAGCCCACCTTGTAAACTTGTACATAGTACAACACGCCCCTTGCCAAGTAGCCCACATAATTGCCAAGGTGTCGCATGAAATCTCTGGCGCTTTCTAAACCCCTCTTGATCCCAAACCTGCACTCAACCAGCAAAATTACGACCGCCACCGCGATAATCGTGGCACATAAACCCAAGACATAAAACAGGGCGGGAAACGCTCCCTCCTTAGAGTTAGAGATTAGAACGTTGCCCTCTTTAAAGTTGGAACTGAATTGACGAAATAACTTTTTGGTCAAATCCGGTCCAAAAGACTTGATAGACAGTAGCTTCAGAGTCATCATTTCGAGTGCTTCCAATCTCTCAGATATACCCGATTCCGCTAATCTCACAATACAGTTATATATCCTCGGCCAAATATGATTGTTGCTGACAAGGGTCACTATAATGTATTGAAAGGGTATATCCTGCAGGTTGTCGAGGACTAACCGCTTCCCCAGTATTTTTATTGGTGACGTAAGTAGGATCAAGGTATGTTTTGGGTCAACAATTGCAAAGGGGAGATCCATAAATTATGTCACGCAAGAAAGCCCTTTTTTAAGACCCCCCCACCCCTGTTGTCACGCCTTTGTCACGCTAGTCGTGACCCCTCCCCCCCTCTTGTCACGTCACGCCTGAAAATGTTGTTATACATTTTTTTAATTGTTAACATTTTTGAATCATGCAGAAAGTTGTCTTCAATCAGTTTACGTTGTTGAAACCATGAAAAATAGGGTTCGGAGGAATTTTTTAAATTGTGCAAATTGTTGGAGATTTTGTAATGTTTTAAATTGTTGCAAACTTATGACGATTTTTTGAAATTATGCAAACTTTATGGCATCATGAATTTTTTTAATTTGCAAACAATTGGATATTGTGCAAATTATTTGAAGGCTTGAACAAAATGTAGAAACCTGGTTTAAAATCTCAAAATCTGAAACTTGGTTGAAATTTTGGATGCTTTGGATCAAAGGTCTGTTTGATATTCGGGTATATATCTAAATAATTGCGAAACTGTAGTTTGGTCGTAGTCGAAGAATTAAAATGTGAGTTAAAGTTTGCATTAAGTTAGGCCTCCAAAACGTTATGTCACAGATCGGCCGAACCCCCCCTCCCCATATGTCACACTTTGTCACGGATCCTTGGACCCCCTCCCCCCCATCTTCAGCGTGACATAATTTATGGATCACCCCAAACGTGGCACGCTTCGGAATTTCCCCCTCTTTGGTTGCGATGATTTCCGAGTTGGAAACATTACTCGCTATGGCGCTCAAATTATATATTGCGGGCGAAACGAAGATCAACCGGTGAACAAAGGTGGATAGAAGGGTAGAAAAATTTCTACTGCCAGAAGATGACGAATCCGCCCGAATAGATGCAAGCAGTGGTGCTAATAGAGCTTGTATGAACGGTGTAAACTTCCACCCTGACCTGACCAGCCGATGGTCGTAATTGTGGTAAGATTGGATTTCACTAAATCTTCCAAATTTCTGGGAACAATGGGAAATGGTACAACCGTCAAATCTGAGGTGACTGATCCCTGGTACAAATTTTGCATGAGGATATTGCACATCAAGAACCACACGAAAAGCATGAGAACATCTTTTCTCTGTTTTTGTAATGAGTTTACAATAGCAGTTCCATACTGACTGAGCAAAATTGAGGTAAATGCTATTAAATCACGGAGGAATATGGCACTATATTCTGCCTTGATTTTAGGGAGATTGCGCATATCCTGATTAAATTGAACCACACCAGTTATTATAATGCAAGCCGCTAAAATTAAGGTCCACGTCCCGGCATCAAATGGGGTGAAAATGTTGCCAAAACTACTTTCCGCTATCGGAAATTTGGTGACTACGGAAAATCTAAACTTACGAAAAGTTAGGGTGAGTACAATGTTGTCTCTGTCTATGTAATATATCTCAAAAAAATGATCGTCTAGAAATTAAATTTAAATAGATGTTTGACATTATGTTTTCAATGCTATAGTTCTTGGAAAGTTTTCCTTCGTTAGAAAAGTGCACTGTTGAGAAGTTGAGTTGCATTCCTATCATATAACTCAGACAATATTTGAAAGACCCCGTGACCCGGAACTTACTTAAGTTCGGGCCACACGAAGTTGTTTTGTCAAAAACTAAATTATCCCAGGCGAAGAACGTCGTAAGGAGAATATTTCCTTGCATGTCGATCTCGTTTTGCCGGTGCCAAATCGAGTTAATCATATCAAACGAAGAAATCTGACTCTTTATAAATGTAAAATTGTGACAGGGAAAACACGGGATGAAAATGCCTCCTCTTCCGAAAAATATTATCCTAGACGTCCTGATAAGATATGAAAGCTTACTCTGGAAACGCAACGAGTGAGACAGAAGGACAAAGATGTATTCAGTGTTTGAGCTGATAGAAGTATTGAATTCGACAGAATATAGTGTCGGTTTTGAAATCAATAATATTTGTGAACAAGAGGATCTTTTATGGTTAATGTTTTTCATGAAGGCTGTGTTATTCGTCAAAGTTCGTATAATTTTTACACTGCGATGATACGAAACGGATGGAAAGTTTTGTAGTCTAGATTCCCAACTCTTCTCCCCCCCGTTGTCCAGGATGAAATGGAGGTCAAACTTGTCTGTGGCTACAGTGTTACTAATTCCTAGAGCCAGGATGATAAGTAATATCGAAAAGGGATACATTTTTTAATGAGGCAGCTATGCAAGTAGATAAGTAATCCAATTTTTTCTGGGCCTTTTGAGATTGAAAACTTAAGTCGAATGTGACTAAAATATTGGCGTCAGTTTGATCCAGACTAAATGAAGAAAACATGTCGTGCAAAGAGAGGATGGGATATTAATATATCGTGTCGAACAAACAATACGGTGAGCGAATAACATGCACCCTTAGAAATTTGGTGTAGTAGCTTATATGCAGGTTTGTAGATAAATATGTAGATAAAGATTTCTCGGCATTAAACTTTTCACCAATTGGGGGTAACATGTTACCACTTTGTGCAACTAATTTAGTGTGGTTGGGCGTGGAAAGAATTCGGTGTGGACATCGTGCGTTTCGAAAATATGGGTTCGGAGGTGAAGTTGAACTGGTTCCAAGTGTAGTGAAAGTTTATTAACGAGCTATTACTCAAATAATTAATACATATGTATTACCGGTAAATTTTAATCACACCCTTGTGATTACGACTTTGACATAATCATTCATATCGTACAACCCGGGGTGTGCGGATCTTTGCCCCCCATTAAAAGCTACCCATGAAATGCTACCCATTATATGCTACCCGAGATGATCTGCCCCCCATTATATCCAATGTATTATACTGTCCAAAATCCTTCCCCACGCAAGGCGGAGCTAATCGCCACATCAGATCTCACATCCGTGACGACCCCAACTCTTCGAAATCCTACCAGTGCCACGTGACCCCTTGTACGAAGTCGTTCTACACGCTCAATAATCTGCGCGGACACGTGTATCGAGTCCACAAATGCGCGAAACGATTCAGCTGCGATTTTAAAAATTGCCCGGTCACGTGCAAATCAAAAACCGCGCTAAAAGTGCATCAGGTGACGCACACAGGAGTAAAGAATTTCAAATGCGGTCATCCCAATTGCAACAAGGCATACAAGACCAAGGGCGCGGTGACCCAGCACCACGCCGCTGTCCACGTGGCGGCCCGTCCATTCAGATGCTCCACGTGTTCGAAAGGATTTTTTTCCAAGCCCTGCTTAACCCGACATGTTAAAGGGGTCCACGAAACTATAGAGGCTAAATTCGAGTGTACTTTATGCACCACGAAATTCAAGGTAATAAACTGAAGATCAGAAATATGTAGTACATATTTATATGTAAGAAATCAAAACGATACATTTTTAAAAAAATGTAAATGTTTTTTAAAGACAAAGGAAGGTTTATACATCCACATCACTTCGCACATTGGGGAGAAACCGTATTCTTGTGGAACATGTTCTGCCGGATTTAGGACGAGTAGTTCGTTAAAATGTGAATCTTATGTTTGGCTAATTTATGTAAATATGTTTCAGAAATTTAACATTCTTTTAAAAATCTAAATAGCTCACCAATACATCCATCGAGCAGAGAACAAGTTTTTGTGCGAATTTTGCTCCAAAAAGTTCAGACGCCCAGGTGAGCGAAGAGCTCATGTCCGATTGGTTCATCCCTCCACCCCCCACGCCCCCTCGGATTGTCCCACGTGCGGAAAAACCTTCCCGAACCGGACCCGCCTCCTAAGGCATGTCGGCCTCAACCACGGCGATCGGACCTTTTTCTGCTACTTTTGTCCCAAAGTGGTGAAAAATTATAAGGCCAACTTTGAAACGCACGTGCGTCTTCATACCCACGAAAAATCGTTCATTTGTACCGAGTGCAAGTATTCGACCGGGTGGCCATCAGCTCTTGTATTGTATCGCACGTGAGATGGATGCATCCCCCAATAATCGAGGATGACATGCAGACTTGCTACTTTTGTGGGGAGAAGGTTCGAAAGCTGGAGTACGATTTGATGTCCCACATGCGAAAACACACGACCGAAAAAGCATTTTGCTGTGGGGTTTGTGGCATAATGTTTAATTCGGTGGGAAAGGTAAAGGATCACATTGACGAGGTGCACTCGAGGAGAAGAAGGGCAAAATGAGGTCCGTTATGTTATTTCAAATTCGTGTATTTAAATAATTCTGGTAAGGGATAAACTTTTACATGAAAAAAATCTAAAAAATGTACATAAATGTGTACTCTGAAATTCTGTAGGTCAATGATACATAGGAGGAAATATGTATACAAAGATTACATTTTTTAATACATTAATTGATTGAGAGATATACCAATTAGGTAAATTGTTGGACCAATTTACCATGCTAGTTTGATATTATCAAACCAGCATGGTAAATTGTAATAAACATAAACCTCAAAGGCTTATGTTTAACAATAGAAATAAGATAAAAATGTCAAAAAAAATTATCTATTTTTTGAAAATCATTAAAACAAATAATTATGTATGTTAAATATAATTAAAATTACGATTGTAAGTTATTCAGGTGTTCATAAAATACAAATTTTATACTGATGTACTCAGAAGGTGCTGACTGCTGAAAATTTCTCAAAATTTTGAAACCCATTCATTAAACTAATTCATTGAAAAATTTTCTGAAATTAAGCAACTTTTTTATTCTGAAATTGTACCTTGAAAATCAAAGCATTCCCAAATTTCAAACGTATCATCGCTTTTCGAACACCACGTGAAATGGATATGGCTTCAAGGCGAGGCCCGGTTTCATGTCCAATCTCGGCGTGGGTTGTCCAACCGGGTTGGATATTTTGTACCGCTGCAGTACCGCGGTCAGTACCAGAAATGCAAGCATCGTCACGTGCAGCTCACCGGGACAGTTTCTTTTACCTGTCGAAAATGATGTACATACATACAAAATGGAAACACGACTTCAAAAAGCCCTCAAGATTTCGAAAATTTCGAATGTCGAAATAAAATTCCAAATTTCCCTATGACTCACCAAACGAAAATGCAATAACCTTCGACGCGTTTTCTAGTTCGCCATGTTCACCAATAAATCGCTCCGCTCGAAACATCTCAGGGTCTCCCCAAATTGTCTTATCTTCAAAATAAAGTCGCGTATCGACCATGATAATGCTGTCCTAAAATGACATAAATGATAGCAAAATTCAGGTTTCGATCCATAAATTTATATCTTTATGTTTGTATAAATGTGAAGTTGTCCTTGTCCTAAACTCCCAAAAATTTATTTCTAAATTTACCTTTTTAATTTTGTAGGTCTTATACCAAAAATCCCAAAGGACTCGGCGTGGCACAAAATTTTGTGCAGTTCTCGCATTTCGATGTGTCTCAAGGATGAACGCTTGGATGTACGGCATACTAAAAATACAGAAATACATAATTCCATTGAGTTAGGGTGCGTTTATACTTGGTAGCTTGCGCCATAGCTAAACTATGCATAACATTAGCACAAGTTGCTAAGGAGTGCAGTATAAACGCAGCTTCACAGTTCAATTAGATACATTCTAATTGAAACCAAAGTTTAAAGCAAAGTATTCATTGATATCGTCAGGATTAGGTAAAATTACGTAAGTACCGTTTTCTATCCTCAAAATTTATAACTCTTCCGTCCACTGCAATATCCAAAATTTCTTGGTAAATTTTCTCTTGCACGGTCGGAAATGCGATCAAATAAAGAACCGCAGCTTCAAGGAATGAGTTCGATGTGTCCGAGCTCGCCACGAGGAGATCTTGAAAAGTAACTTGAAAGTTCTCGCCTAAAAGAACCATGAAAATTTTAAAGCTGATAAAATGGTTTGAGTGAAACTTTATTAAAATTTTTACAGTTGAATATTTCTTCATCATTTCCACAGTTTTGGACGAACGCTTCAACCAAATTGTTAGGTTGGAAAGTTGTGGGCGGAGACGCTCTCAATTTTTCTTGGCTCTCGTGATAAAGTTTCTGGAAAATGTTTGTAAAAATTTTAAATTCAAAAAGTTTTCGTAAACACGTACATCGCCAAAACTGAGTCTGGCCTGCCTATACGAACTTGCTTTAAATTGTTCCTGGCGTTATTTGCAAGTCTTTTAAAATTTGGTATAAAACCAGTTTTGCGAAAATTTTAAAACCATAAGCGGAAATTTTTTTCCGGTTTTAGGTATGTAAGCACGTGATTTATTTTGCGGGAAGCTTTTACAATTTGCATACACTGCTCACCTTTCCAATTGTTTTACACGCCTGGAAAAAGTAGACCTGTGCCGTCCGGCCTAACCACGTGGGGAAGACGTACCTCAAAAATGGAAACGCATTGGCAATGCTCATCCCAACAACGCCGCTCTTCACGAAGCGTTCCGCCTTCTCCGATATTAGCTTAACTTGTGCCTTATCGTCCTCAGTTAACCGCCCAACCACCATTTGCCACATGATGGTTAGAATTGGCTGATGAAAAAGATAATCGATATTAACCTCAGTGCCGAGGTTATCGTCAATTTTGGCAAATAATAAGTCCAACATGACCTGGAAATCAGGAGGGCAAAATTTTATACATAGGCAGACATTGGGTATAGTAAGGCTGGCATTAATTTCTCCTAGAAGCGTAGAAAAAATTTTCTAGTTTATATTTTTGCCTGGATATAATGCTCCATAGCTGAAGGTTTCCCAAATCCGAATTCACGTAACGTTTTAAACGTCCAATTTCTCGTTTTATTCCAAATGCTTCCATGTGACGTTGCGATTCCCAGATTTTTATGGAAACTCCAATCAGAAAACATTCCAGTCGTGGCACGTGCAAAAGTGGCCTCGTTGGTGAGCACGGTTTGCATCGCTTCTTTTGAAGTAAGAACGACTACGTACATAGTCCGACCATAAGTTCCCGTGAATGCATTTCCGGTGATAAAGCCCAAAGTATTAGAGCTATCTGATAGAAATTTTTGTGGATGAACAAGGTATTAATCTTGTTTAGAAATCATAACTTCGTTTTCACAATTTCCTCCACGGGCTTGTACACAAGACATAAGTCGTGGCGAAAACTGCTCGATCGCGGCACGCACGGATTTCCTGGGAAAAGCGCCAGATCTTCAGTAAGTGCGACCTCAGCTTTTCCACACTTGGGTGAAATTTAGAGCATACTTGTACCTATAATTTTGACCACCAGTCATAATTTAGGGGATTAAGGTCTGCAGATACTGAGCACCGTTCTACGGATGAAAAAAAGTCATGAAAATTCGTCTGAAGCCAGTTTTGGACAATTTTGCACCTTGCGCATGAGCAGATTCTTGTTGAAAGGTCCAATGGCGATTTTCGGAGGGTCCAGGGTTCAGGTTATTAACGTTTGTCTCTAGGACACTCTGAAAATAATTCTTGGCTTCAACTTGTACCCTTTGCGGTAAAAAACAGAGATTTCATTTCTCCAGCCAACTTGCTCCCATTCACACCACGGTGATGACTTCGTATTGACTTCCGCATACTTAAACGGATGTCAGACTTCTGTACAACAAATATCTGGCCTTTTTTTCTATTGAATTTTTTGCCAACGGTGAAAAGTCTGAAATACTTTTGGCACGAAAATTGGCGCGTACCACGATCAACCTGTGGCCGTCACGAGTTATGTCTTGTCTAATTGCCCGTGGACGAAATCTTGACAAAGAAGTTATGATTTCTAAACAATATTAATACCTTGTTAATCCATAAAAATTTCGAACAGATAGCTCTAATACTTTGGGATTTATTACCGGAAATGCATTCACGAGAACTTATGACCCCACTATGTATTTAGACCAAAGTCAAAGTTATTAAATTCAACACGTATGTAATTTTAATAAAATGTAGTAACGTGAATTTTATTGACATCTTAAATTCTGGCCGGTATAAAATTCCAAAAAATAATTTCCAAAATAATTTCCAAATAAAAAATAATATTTTCGGTTCGTTTTAAAAAACGGAGACAAAAAATCTGAGGGGTTATCTGGCATATGTAATTTATTTCCATGGTATCTGGCTTTGTCTACGAACAGCAGCGGCTAAACTTTAAGAGTAAGAAGTACATATTCTTTACACAAAAGTGTGTAACTTTCATGTTCAAAACAGTTCCGGTACGTATTTTTTCTTGACGCTACATTATGGGGTCAATTTTCGATGTCCTGTTTATAGACAGAAATTTGAATCTGGGAATATGCGTGTAAACGATTGACTGAATCCCAAGATTGTATCAAATTTAATGCAAATTTTATCATGTGCATATGTATGTTATCCGCGTAATTTATCTGTTCAGGTACAATCAATGTATTTAAATAAGTACCCGGGATTTTTCCGGTTATGCACCTCATTTGCATATTTTGACTCATTACATATGGAAATCCTCTATCTCTGAAAACGGGCATGGTGAGATTTCTGCAAATGAGGTGATCCGCAAGAATAATTCTACATATTACATATGTATAAAACTACCTCTCGTTTTCGTTCCCATCTTCAACGAAAAAATTTCTCCATGCTTTTCCCCCAGTACGCCCAAAGTTTTCGTAATGTTGTCCGATGCCATCACCAAATCGATCAAGTTTCGCAGAATCGGAAAACCTTTTGGACCTGGATACGCAAATACGTAATCAATTGGAAATTTAAAAATTTGCATAAATTCAGCTACTGCTTAAAAAAAATTATGTACCTGGGGGATTATTAACATCTCGGTCGGTAGAGAAGAAATAGCGTGCCAGCATTCCAATGCAAAACACAATGAATCCAAACACCACAAACATCTTGCTACCTTGGTGAAGTCAACGTAAATACAAACTAAATCAAGAAATATTTGCAATCTTATATACATACGTACATAATCTGTACTCCTTAATAAAAATGCTTATATATTTACACCTACCTATGTATTAAACCACCTTTACGATATCAAATTCCTGTCGTGTTGGGAAGCATGAATTTAATTATATATGGATGTGTACACTGTTAAAAATCTGATATAGTCGGACAGGAATTGATTTCTCGGCTGTAAAGTGCTACCACTCGGTATGCAAATTTCAACCAGCCGTAAAAATTTGCCACCGATACGGCAAAATTTGAATGTTGAGCTATTACTCATCAATACCACTTTAAAGTGACATTATGTATTTTAATACTGGATTTCTAAGAGTGTATATAAGTGTCCATTTTTTGGGTTAATCCAATCATAAAAGGTAAAGTTTACTGCAAGGTAAATTTCTCAGGCAACAAAGTTTGAAAGGATCTTGCGTAATATTGTTATCGCTTTTATTATGTAATCACCCGAGACGCGATATATTTACAAATATCATGCCACCAACGTATACATATCTAAGTAGTTAACTTTATGAGATATCTTAATACAAACCCGAATCAAGTTGATCACATGGATTGTGTACGGTCGTCTTGGGAACCAGTTTTCTTTAGTTTCCAGTTGTTTACATATTAATTCGTTGATTAAGGTCAGGATTTTCTGGAAACTTCGGGTACTTGTGTACCTAAATACATATCTTCGTACAAATGGGAAGTGTGTATGCATGTAGTGTGTATGCATATTATGTCGCAAAATTTACATGCGGTTTGGGCACGGGTTGAAGGTCAAATCTTTTATTTAGGTACGAGAATTTTAGCATTGGACCTAAAAATGGGTGAAATGCTCGAAAATTTCCCAAAATATATCATTCCTAATGGAAAATACATAAGCATGTTTGTACGTTCAAATTTAATTTCGTTTTTCGAACACCACTTGAAATGGGTATGGCTTCAAGGTGAGGCCCGCTTTCATATCCAATCTCGGCGTGGGTTGTCCCACCGGGTTGGATATTTTGTATCGTTGCAGCAATGCGGTCAGTACCAAGAATGTGACAATGTTGGCGTGCAATTCACCAGGACAGTTTCTCTTGCCTTTTAAAAATTAAAGACTCAATTAATTATTACAATTTTGTAATAAAAATCTTTGTTTTAGATACTTAAATAAGCAATTGTTTATTTTCTCATTACTCACCAAATGAGAAGGAAATAACACTCGGCACATTTACTATTTCGCCATGTTCACCAATAAATTGTTCCGGCCGAAAGACCTCAGGGTCACGCCAAATTTGCTTATTTTCACAATGCAGGCGCGTATCGGAAAGGATGACGGTGCCCTAAAATATCCAACTCAAGCGTCAACTCTCAATGAAGTTAGTGAGCATCGGTCACTTTACATAATTTTTATTGCATAATTATCATATACGTAACGGCCACTTTACACAATTATTAAATTTGCAATATGACTTATTTATGTGAAAAGGGATTTCATCTAAAATTTAGATGAAACTCAATTTAGATTTAGATTCTAAATTAATTTAGAATTAATTTAGAATTTAGAATTAATTTAGATTCTAAATTAATTAAATTAATTAAGATTCTAAATTGAGTTTCATGCATAAAAAAATAGGCAGTTCGTTGTGTACCGTAGCCAAATAAAGGCATATACTCTCAATCAGTTAATCTATTTTCCTTTAGTTCACATAATTTCTTCTGCATAACTGCCATTTTTCATAAGGGTCATTTTGAAAAATTATCAATTATGCCATATTACACATATAAATATGTGTCTACGCTTTTTATGTAAAATGAGTTTAATCCAATAAAAATTTTACAAGTATGGCCGTTATGCAAAGTGACCTAGGACTCATATTGCACCAGAGAGTTCAAAATATTATACGTAAGTATCTGGCATAAATATGTACCTTCTTAATTTTGTAATTCTTATACACGAAGTCCCAAAGAGCTCGCCGAGGTGCAAAATTTTGTGCATTTCTCGCATTTCGATGTGTCTCTAGGATGAACGCTTGAGTGTACGGCATACTAAAAAACAAAAAAATTAAAAATCCGCACCATTGATTTAGTAAAAATTCAACACATCACAAGTTATTAATTTCTTTCGAACGGAATACAACATTTGTGCGCTGCATAAATTACCCTGACACCAACACCTCTCAAAACTATGTACATAAGAGTTTGATCTGTATTTTATCCGAAAAATCATATTAAAAAGTTGATTTACTTATTAAATTGTTCATCTCAAATTTGAAATTTTTCCAATAATACCAACCAATATTTAATATTTAAAAGTAAATTCTTCGTGGTTCTCGGAAAAAAATCATAAATTGGAAACTTGATGAAATAAACATCGTCTTTTATAGGAAATCATGCATGAAGATTATCAGGTTTGATTATGAAATCAACATTACATCCAAGAAGAATTTTATAAAATCAGTGGCAAGAGGTTAACCCTTTGATTATTATTACGTACAATTTGTTCTGCACAAAACAGGGTATTATTAACCTCTGGGCACTTATTAGCTCACCCTGCGTAGCACGGGAGCTATTGAATTTCTCTTGTTCGTCTGTCTGTCCGTCTGTCTGTCCGTCTGTGTGTTCACGAGTTTTTTGCATCAATTGATGCTAATTAATAATCCCTATGTCCATTATTGAATAACTTAGTCCCACCATTGGCATCAAACAATCCGAACGGAAATGGTGCGAATCAATTGGGAAAGTTGATCGAGAAAGTACTCCAACATTGGAATAAGTTGCACCGTTAGTATCAAACAACCGGTTATCAAAAATGATGCTAAATAATTGGGAGAATCGATGCAACATGCACCAAAAGTTTAGAATAACTGGATGAAAGGTGGTGTCAAAAATTTAACACCACGAGTTCAAGGCCCCGGGGAAAAACCAAAATTATTTCAAAATTAGATATTTATTTTGGCTCCTTATTCTGCACCCTTGGTGCAAAATTATATCATTTTTATATGCCTGCTCTTTCTGGTTATCCTGTACCATTGGTGCAAAATTATATCATTTTTATATGCCTGCTCTTTCTGGTTATCCTGTACCATTGGTGCAAAATTATATCATTTTTATATGCCTGCTCTTTCTGGTTATCCTGTACCATTGGTGCAAAATTATATCATTTTTATATGCCTGCTCTTTCTGGTTATCCTGTACCATTGGTGCAGAATTATATCATTTTTATATGCCTGCTCTTTCTGGTTATCCTGTACCATTGGTGCAAAATTATATCATTTTTATATGCCTGCTCTTTCTGGTTATCCTGTACCATTGGTGCAAAATTATATGACAATAATATATCTATTTGTTCAATTATCCTGCATCAATGGTGCAAAATTGTATAACTTTTATACTTGTATATTTTGCGCGATTATTCGGCACCTTTGGTAAAGTTATAGCAAATCATTGTATATGCGTATCTTACTCGCTAATTGTATTGTAAGTATGGCTTGGCGGGTTACTCCGCATCTTTGGTGCAAAGTTATAACCAAGTCAATATGACAGGGTGAGCTACTTCTAACGTTACTACGGTTTATTTGTTTATAATTTTTTTTTTCTTCGGGGATCAATGTTGATGATTTCATAATTATACATTGTCATGGAGGGTATTTATTATTTCTTCGTATCGTAAAATTACTCACAACGCTTAAGAGTTTTGTAATAGTCGTAAGATTTTGTCATCGAAAATCGCTTTATTACGCTTACGATTTTTGCGAAACCTGACCCCTTGTTTTATCTTCGTAAACTATTTTACGATACTAACGATACGAAGAAATAACGAATACCCTCATAGTAATTTTAAAATAACCGTTTCCTATCCTCAAAATTTATAACTCTCCCATTCGGTGCGACATTCAATATTTCCTGATAAATTTGCTCCTGCACTTCAGGAAAAGCTGTCAAGTAGAGAATAAGGGACTCAAGGAATGAGCTCGATGTATCCGAGCTAGTCAGTAGAAGGTCTTGGAAGACGACTTGGAAATTTTCGGCTAGATGTAGAGGGTACAAAATTATGAAGAAGGACTTAAGAATTGTATCTAAATAATAGTTACTAATTTTACAATTAAATAGCTCATCGTCCGTTCCACAATTTTGGACGAAAGCTTCCAATAAGTTGGCAGGTTGGGAGGTGAGCGGGGATGTCTTTAATTTTTGCACCATTTCGTCAAAAAGTTTCTAATTAATTAGAATGATACAGCAATTTTCAGTTGTATTTTGCATAAAGTGGAATGAAGGAATTGTGTATAATTTGAATGAGGGAATCATGCATACATAGTTTGGGATAGGAAAATGATGCATACATTGTTTTGAATAAAGAAATCGTGCATAATTTGTAACGAGGGGTCATGCAATCAGGTAGTCGTGAATAAAGCGAAGGATTAGTTTTTTGCATTCAGTTGTTTACCTTTGCGATGGAATTGCAGGCCTGGAAAAAATCCATCTGCACCTTGTGGCCTAACCAATTTGGGAAGACGAACCGCAAAAACGGCGTAACGTGTAAGCTTAACGTGTGCCTTATCGTCTTCAGATAACCGTCCAACTATCATGAGCCATATAGTGGTTTGGATGGGTTGATGAAAAAAGTAATCTACATTGACCTCAGTCCCTAGCTTATCATCAATTTTGGCAAACACTAAATCCGACGCGATCTGGTATTAATTCAAACAAAATTTGATATTCTGTTCAAGATTTCCTACTGATCACGTATTGAGGGGTGAAGCGAGGCGAAATCCCTTTATGGGAATGTCTTGTTTATCTGTCCATCAATCCGTATCCACGATAACTGTAAAACGGATTTCGACATGCGGTTTTCGCCAATGTGTTTCTAATTTTCAGCCCGAACCAGGGCTTATGTACATACATAGTTGTCATGTCCGTCTGTCCGTCCGTCTGTCTTTCGATAACTCTCGAACGAGTTGACTGATTGAGTTGAAATTTTTACCATATGCATATTGGACAAAGTTAGGATTCGAGTTCGAAGATGGGCAAAATCGATCCAGTGGTTGAACGGTGGGGGTCATCGGAGTGGTTGGGATATTATGCACCAAAATTTCAAAATTGTCGTAGAAAGCTGAAATTTGGTACAGAGATTGATAATAACTCCTACTGGAAGAATATGAAGTGAAATTGGAAATTTTGTTAACCGGAGCCACAATGCGGCGGCCTAATGTTAGTAAATGGAATCAATTCCACGATGAATTTTTCTAAAATATTTAACCCAAATTTTTTTGCAATGTTGTGCGTGAGCCCCAAAACAGCCAAATATCCACAAATATTTTAGAAAAATCCATCGTGGAATTGATTCCATTTCCGACCATTGGGGTGACCCATGCATAGATCGGATATTTTGCGTACTCAGTACTCCGCGTACTCATCCTCAGTACTCCGCGGAGTACGCGAGTATGTACTCCAAGCCCGGAGAACTCCATGCCTATCTTCAAAACTTGTAAAAGCTGAAATTTGGAAGATTGATACCAAATGGCTTCTCATGAAATTATATGAAGTCAAAGATGAACAAAAAGTAACCAGAGGGGCACTTAGGGGTATCCATACCGATTTCTAATAGTTTAGATTAGGGTTGCCGCGGGTAACGGGTCGGGTACCCGTTACCCGCATACCCGCACAATTCTTGCGGGTACCCGTTATCTGCGGGTAGCGACAGCTACCCGCACGGGTAACGGGTAGTTCAGTTTTTATTTAATTTTCGACATAAATCAGTTCACAAAGAAAGTTAGCAGCAGGTTAGTCCATTTACCAACAAAAGCGTCAATTTATTATTTATCCAATTCAAAATTTGCTGTTTTCCAGCAACTAGGGCTTATAGCGTGTGTCTTTTCGGAATCTACAGTAGCCTACTTCAGTCTCAAATGCTTTTCACGTCCCGAAAATGAGGAGAAATTATTGTTTCTCAAGCATAATTTGCCTGCTCTAAAATATGAGTAACAATTTGACTTGTATGTGTTTATGTAAGACTGACGATATTTTAATTTATACTTTAAAGGTGAAAAACTTGAATCCGATTGGAAGCAAAAATGTTATTTATAGACGATTTTGCAATTAAAACTTCATTTAAATCTAAATTTAAAAAAATCAAACTATATATTGAACCTTCTTTCAAGCTACACCAAGATTGTCTAGCAAGTATAAGTATTTAAAAGTCAAGCCAAAAATTAAGAATCGCGTGATACTTTCCGTGGAATGTCCACTTTAAAGAAAATATTGGCGGCTAAGTTCTATTTTTAAGTAAATGTTCAGCAACTTTTTCCTCCACTGGACGAAAACCATGGTGGTCCTTGAACTCTGCCCCTAATAGCTGTCTTTAAACGGGCTATTTAAGGCTAGCCTCCATGACGTGGTCGTCTCAAAAAATCATTGAGTAATTTAAACTGCGCGAAATTTGCACCCCCTCTGGACTTTGAATTACATTAGCCGAATGAGCCGAATTATCCTATTATTTTACACCAGTTATTTTTATTTTGGCGTTCAAATTATTCAATTTCGTATGATTTCGTATAATTTGAACGCCAAAATAAAAATAACTGGTGTAAAATAATAGGATAATTCGGCTCATTCGGGTAATGTAATCGCGGATCCACGGACTCATCGCAAGATTTCCCATACGTTTACATACACAAATACACAGCAATATTAATAAATTTCAAACTAATTTTTCGTGACTTAGAAATCGAATTTCGAAATTCTGTACACCGCTATTGTTGATGATTAGCTGCTCAAAAATATGCATTTAAAATTGATCGATATGGATAAGGGGCCGTCCATAAATTACGTAACGCAAAAATCGTCATTTTTTAGACCCCCCCTCCCCCCTCGTAACGGCATCGTAACGCTTCTCGACTACCCCCCCTCCCCCTTCGTAACGTAACATAAATTTGATTTCACCGCAGATGATTTACTTAGCACTCGCAATGCATTGTGCGGAATTTTGGGGCGGCACCGATGAAAGGAAAGGGGGGTATCGCTCATTCTGTTACCACAAAATAGAGCCAAAAATCCAGTTTATTTTTACTTATACAACCAGATCATTTCGGTTACTCCATTTTGAGATATGTAAGGTCAAAGTTTGACCGCAAACTTTTGCAAATGAATTGATCTGGTTGTACATATCTATGTAAAAATAAACTAGATTTTTTCGTATATTTCTTGGTAACAGAACGAACGATGGACTCGTTACCCCCCCCCCTTCCTTGACCGGTTCCGCCCTAAAATTCCCCACTGTAATGCAACCTTTTCTCAATTTACACCTGGAAAACTAATGAAAAATGTATATTTACTACATGCGTACACTGAAACCTTTGGGATGACATGAATTCAATATGCTCGGCGTATCATATTTGGCGAATTTTAGTCCAGTTTATAAAATGTGTTACGTAACAAATTTTTTATACCCCCCACCCCCTTCATAACAATTCGTAACGCACTTCCCATGACCCCCCCCTCCCCCCCTCTTGCGTTACGTAATTTATGGACGGCCCCTAAGCCAATTTTGCCTGATGATTAGCATGTGTTCTTATGGAATTTACACTATTTGTGGCATCCAGCCATTCTCAAGCTACCAAAATGTTTGATGTCGGCTCGAGTACAACGACAACGGGATGGTCTACAATATCGTCGACCAGAATTTCGAAATTCGTCCTAGTTGCTGAGATTTAATTAAAAATGTAGGGTTGTGACGTCACTGTTATGACGTAGGCGGCGCGTCATGGAAGCTTGCGTTAAGGAAGAGATAACTGATAATTCCTAATTTTTGGCTTGATTTTTTGATATAATTCGTTAAGAAATCCCGATGTAGTTTGAAAAACGTTCCATTGCAAGTCAAAAAGTTTGGTTTCAGAAACAACTAGTGACATTCCCAAAACAAATTATGGCATGCATTACTTGCGTATAGCATTATCTCAAACTACATATCAACCCAAGTGAGCAAATAATTAATTAAATCGAATTTATTCTGAAGTTTGGTTAGCTTTTAACTTAATTCTCATAACGGGTAGCGGGTAACGGGTACCCGTGCGGGTACGGGTAGTTGTGCTGCGGGTAGCGGGTCGGGTAACGGGTAGCATTTTCGCTACCCGCGGCAACCCTAATAGACTCTAGCAGATTTTTAACTCTAGGAATTTCGCATTCTTATTGTAGGGCACATACATCCACACGATACTTAACAAGCACATTTAACCTGATCCCATCTACATAGCATACACGGTCCATTGGCGTGACAACAAGAACCAGTTTTTCACCGCATGGAGAAATATCCTTTTAAGCCTTTTTTCGCATCCAGGCGAGGTCAGGGTTTTATTGGTGCTTGGGGTACATATGGTGGAGTTATTTGTGCGTATCACCTTAACATTATTGCACATTCGTGAGAGGCAGCTTGTTCATCATGGAAAGCCCGTACGGCCGAAAATGGGGATAGTGAGATTCTAATGTGCAAATGCAGTTATCCGTGCAAATAATTCCACTGTATTTTTACATATTTTACGATGGGTTAAACATTCCAATATTTACATATTCATATTATTTCTATAGATAGGTAATTACTGACATGCTTGCCCAATATTTGAAGTGCAAGGTTTCCTTACCATAAACACAGCCTAGCTTTTTTCATGAATGGATAAAAATCAATCTCGAAAGGGGATATGAATGGTGTAAAAATCAATGCAATTTATCTTGAACTATGTATGAAGGAAGTTTATGCGTATTTCTACAGACAAGTGCATACAAATGTCTATATTTTATTTAGTCGGAAAACTTAAATACATACAATTTGAACAAGTTCAAGGTCGTGACATCATATATTTTATTAACACGAGTTTTTAGCATTTTAATAAAAAAACCGAGTGAAATGGTCAAAATTTTCCGAAAATCCATCACAACTTGTCTGACAGTTAAATATGTATAATTACATTTTCAAATTTCGCTTTTCGAAGACCACTTGAAATGGGTATGGCTTCAAGGCGAGGCCGGGTTTCATATCTAATCTCGGCATGGGTTGTCCGACCGGGTTGGAAATTTTGTATCGTTGCAGTAATGCGGTCAGTATCAAGAATGTGACCATACTGGCGTGCAATTCACCGGGACAGTTTCTCTTACCTGTTACAAATTGAAGACTTATTTAACAATTTTATAATTTCGGAAAAATTATCATTTACTTATTTTTTCATGACTCACCAAATGAGAAGGAAATAACACTCGACGCATTCTCTAGTTCCCCATTTTCGCCAATAAATCGTTCCGGCCGAAAGACCTCAGGGTCACCCCAAATTTGCTTATTTTCACAATACAGCCGTGTATCGACAAGGATGATGGTGCCCTAAAATATCCAACTCAAGCCATCGGTCACTTTACATAATTTCTAATGCATAATTACGATTATACACAAAGGTCATTTTAGTATGTATATGTATTTGCACATGTAAAATGGCTGGTGATCTATGTACCTTCTTAATTTTGAAATTCTTATACGAGAAGTCCCAAAGAGCTCTCCGTGGTGCGAAATTTTGTGCAATTCTCGCATTTCGATGTGTCTCAAGGATGAAGGCTTGGGTGTACGGCATACTAAAAAATTAAAATCGGGTCAACAAAATACCAAGTCAACAAAACACTAAAAACAAAACATTCGTAGTATAATTTTAATAAAAATTAATCTAAATACACCGTAAGTTATTAATACTTTCTTAAAAATCCAGTATAAAAATGATCTGAAGTTAGAATAATTTGATATTACTCGACCAACATTGCACAGATAAGTGACACATACGTTATAATAAAAGCTCGATATTAAAGTTTACTACATAAATCCCAGTAGCAAATTTTTATGGGCCGGTATAATTTGAATACTAAACGGTAGTAACTTTAGTATCGAGAAATCAATACTTTCCTTGACAATACCAGATTTCTAACACTGTACAACCCTGTTTTGCATATGAAAATTACAATTTCAAGATTTACCATTTCCTGTCCTCAAAATTTATAACCCTCCCGTTGGGTGCGACATCCAATATTTCTTGGTAAATTTTCTCTTGCACTTCAGGAAATGCTATCAAGTAGAGGACAATGGACTCGAGGAATGAGCTCGATGAGTCCGAGCTGCTGAGTAGAAGGTCCTGAAAGACGACTTGGAAATTTTCGCCTACGTTAAGGAGATAACAAATCATCCAAAATTTTAAAAATTTGTACACCTTCTTAAAGTAAAATATTCTTTAAATAAAAAGTAACAACTAATTTTACTGTTGAATATTTCATCGTCCTTTCCACAATTTTGGACGAACGCTTCCAATAAGTTGGCAGGTTGGGAAGTGAGCGGGGACGCCTTTAATTTTTCTCCCATCTCGTCAAAAAGTTGCTAAGTAATTAGTTTAAATTGGAATTTTCAATTAAATTGTGCATACATAATTTGAAATGAAGGAATCAAGAATAATTTGAAATGAGGTAATTTTGCATAAGTTGTACGAATCAGGGAATCATAATTTGGAATGGTGGTACCCTGCATAAATAGTTTGGAATGAGGCAAGCATGCATACTTTCAAACGCGGGAATCAGGCAAAATTTCAAACGAGGGAATTAGGCATAATTTCAAAACAGGAAATCGTGCTTAAAGTGGAATTATCTCGGGAATCTTACATAAATCCATATTTTTTTTGATCTAATCACCTTTCCGATTGAGGTACACGACCGGAAAAAATCCATCTGCACCTTGTAGCCTAACCAATTTGGGAAAACGTATCTCAAAAATGGAAAAGCATTCACGAGACTTGGTCCAAGAATGCCACTTTTCATGAACCGTTCCCCCTTCTCTGAAATAAGCTTGACGTGTGCCTGATCATCTTCAGATAACCGACCAACGATCATGAGCCACATTGTGGTTTGGATCGGTGGATGAAAAAAGTAGTCAACATTGACCTCGGTGCCTAGCTTCTCGTCAATTTTGGCAAACAATAAATCCGACGCGATCTGAAATTAATTCGGGAAAAATTTTCTTTTCTGCCTAAAATTTCCTAATTGTTATTTTTACCTGGATATATCCCTCCATAGCTAAAGATTTCCCAAATCCAAATTCACGCAACGTTTTAAACGTCCAATTTCTCGTTTTGGTCCAAACGCTTCCATGGGATGCTCCAATTCCCAGATTTTTATGGAAACTCCAATCAGCAAACAGACCGCTGTTGTCACGTGCGAACGTTGCCTCGTTGGAGAGGACGGTTTGCATGGCTTCTTTTGAAGTGAGCACGACTAAAGGATAAATACATAAGTAGTTATTATTATTTTAATAAGACTAATATATTTCTTGTTCGCTTAAAAATGCTCTCATAGAAATCCAGTATTAAGATAATACCAATCGGTATTAATACATAACTCTATCAAAGTGGAATTGATAAATAATTCGGTGTAGTTGTAGCTCGATATTAAAGTTCTACACTCAAAATAATGTAGTAATGAATCATTACCATGCGGAATGACTATGAGGCTCTACCACGTCGGTTACGATTTGTCATAGAAATGGTCATAATAATTTCAGGTAAATTCAAATTCATTACCAAATATTAAGGAAGTGAATACCATTATATATTAAATTTGAATTTCCCTGAACTTATTATTACCATTTCTTACTATAAATCCTAACCGACGTGGTAGAGCCTCATATCCATTCCGCATGGTAATGATTCATTACTACCTTATTTTGAGTGTACCAGATCAGTTGCAAATTTTTAGACCATCTTAATTTTAATACCAACGAATAACAACTTTATTACCGATAAATCAATACCTGCGCGACTATAACAGATTTCTAACGGTGTAGGTACATGGTAAAAATGACAAATAATTGAATTCATAACATAAATTTCATTACTTGTCAAATTACTTAGTAAATTACCAGAAATTTATCTTTAACTAAAAACATACATAAATTATTTACCTGTCCTTTTAAATCCCATCCTGATGGAAAAAATTTCTCCATACTTTTCCCCCAATACTCCAAAAGTGTTCACCATATTGTCCGATGCTCTCGCTAAATCAATTAAATTTCCCAAAATGGGTAAACCTCGTGGACCTGGATTGGATCGAAGATACAGATTTATGAAACAAATCGTCCCATTTTATAGCAAAAAATGTAATACCTGGTGGCTCATCGGAATGATGGTGTTTATCCAACAAATAATATACCAGCACGGCCAGGCACAAGCTGAGGAGAGCAAATTCAAGCATTGTGTTGCCAACTTGGAACAAGTGGATGAACTGAACTGTGAAACAGTTCAGATTTTCAGATGGAACTGCATATGTACATATTGGGATGAAATCATGCATGGATCAGGATTTGGATGCAAAGACGACACGGGTTTGCAAAAAAGTGCAGCTTGCTGTTTTTTGTTTTGCTGAATGAGGTGTTGCATTAAGAATGTGCTTGGGTGTGCTGAGAATTTCGCAACATTTTATTGACTCATTACCAGCCGGATTGTATGTATATATATCTCCTCAGGCTCGATAATACCGGTCATTACCGTATAGTAATGAAGTAGTATGTACATACATATTTATGTGACTCTACCAGATTTTTGCAGTGTCAGAATTTCGCATTTGTATAGTTGACAGTAATTGTAACTGTAATACTGTAATACATAAATATACATACATATGTATGATAATTATTATTATAGGGTGACTCATAGCATTTAAATCGATGACATCCTGAATGAATGGTCCTATTGCGTGATAACAAGAACCAATTGTCCAACTGCATGGAAAAATATGCTACTATGTATCTATGTAGATATCTTGTATCCAGGCAAGATCGAGTTTTTTTGGAGCGTCGGGTACATACAGTGGAATTATTTGTGTTGATAAACTCATTTGCATATTTTGACACGTTCGCAAGAGACGGAGTTTATGTATATACTCAACATGGAAAATCTGTATCGCCGAAAATGGGCGTAGTAAGATTTATGTACTATGCAAATAAATGAGGTGACCCGCAAAAATAACAAAACTGTATATATGTACTCATATTATGTTACGTTAAACATTCCAATATTTGCATATTCACATTCTTGCAATAGTTAGGTTATTATTGACAGTTTCAGCCGACATGCCAGCCGAATAACTATTTGCAAGGTTTCATTATCTTCAATATACATAGTTTAACGGTTTCATGCATGAAAAAAATTAGTTTACATATGTAGAAAGAGTTGTATAAATGGTGTACCAATTTATGTTTGGGCAATTTATCTCAAAAGTATAAGCAAGTTTGTATGTGTTTCTACAAACAAAAATATGTATATTTTGTGTGCATATGTACCTATGTATCTAAATAATTGGGATGTATGTATATTATATGCATACTTACATACTTATGTACACGTACTCTCTTAGTAACTGGGTATGAACTATGTAAGAACAAAAATAAATGTTTGTTCTTACATACATATTTAGCATAGTGAATTGGAAAACTTAAATGCTCTTTGGACGAGTCGAGGGTCATGAAACGTTATCTTTTATTAACCCGAAGTTTAATAACGGGCCAAAAAACTGGGTGAAATGGTCGAAAATATCCAGTAAAACCGTTAGACAAATATATTCACAAGTTTGAATTTCGCTTTTCAAACACCACTTGAAATGGGTATGGCTTCAACGCGATGCCCGGTTTCATATCTAATCTCGGCGTGGGTTGTCCGACCGGGTTTGGATATTTTGTATCGTTGCAACAATGCGGCCAGTACCAAGAATGCGACAATATTGGCGTGCAGCTCACCGGGACAGTTTCTCCTGCCTATTACCAATTAAGGACCGCATTAATAATTTCAAATTATCCTTTGTTACCTTTTTTTCATGACTCACCAAATGAGAAGGAAATAACACTCGACCCATTCTCTATGTTGAATTCAGAATTGTGAATTGAGAATTACTTTATTATGTTGCACATAACCTCTATATATACATGATGAATTCATATACTTAAACATCCTCCGGATCTTACTAATCATAACAAATACCATTCCAAATACCAGTACAACCATGATTATGATGCATAAGGCATATTTTATGCATTACTAAAAATGACCTGCTTATTTTTAACACCCTCCTTGAGGCATAAAATAACTAAATTATTATCCGCGAATGCTCTCTTCCAAAGACTCCGCGTCGTTGTTTAAATCCCGTAGTTGAATTCCAGTCCGATTTATGATCTTGTCCTCGCTAACCTTATCAGAATTCTGTTTACAACACAATGTCAGTTTTGTGTATAAAATCAAACCCAGAATTATTGTAAATCCTCCACCGATCAAGGCGACGATGATCCAAAAGTTGGTGTCATTAAAACGGTACCAATGATTCTCATCCAAAGGTGTGAGCAGTTCCATGGTCCGATTCAACTCATCCCATTTTACCGATGGTGTAAGATGCCACGCAAGCTTTTCCATCATCAAGGGGTCCTCTTTTTCATTATATACTAAATTGAGTGCTTGCCCCTTGTACGTGATATTATTCAGAGTAAAAGTTCCCGTCAAGGGCAACTTAAACACATGATTTGGACACTTCACATTCCTATGTGAACCGTACATGAACTCTAAACCTGGACAGTATATATGAAACATATTGTTGTATGTTTTAACTTGAATGAAATCCGACTCATCTCCCTCCTTGCTCTCCATACATTTAGTCATTTTGTAAACATCCTCATTAAAATGACGCGACTGACTAATGCAACGGGCAGAAGGTACGAGCATGTCTTTTTGCCCCAACGCCACTGAATAAATGCAATCTTCACCCAGAGATATAATTGCATGCCTTGGCCCATGGTATGTAGCAGTGCAAGTCCTGCCTTTCTCTTTCACCATAAGGAAAAATGCGTCAGCTTGTAGCATTGTCAAGTTCGTATTTACAATTGGAACAGCAAACTCCAGCGTGAGTGCATTTCCATCTCCGTTCATGGAACAGCGCTTGAACTCTCCGTATTCCAAAGGACAGTTTGCATCACACGGCAGTGTAATATTCATAAAGTCAAAGAATGAATCATCCATCTTATGCTTCCTCCACAAAGCCCTTGTGTGTTGTACTACTCCCCTTCCTACTAATAAACGCGAAATTATGTAGGAAACAATGTACTGAACCAGAATGGATCTTTCTTTGAAGGAGTTGGTATCGTCTATTAACGAGTTCACAGTCACACTGAGTTTCTTAACTTCCCCTTTGAGAAAAATCAACTCCTCGCTTGTAATCTGTGCCTTTCATTCCATATCATCCAATGTTCTTTCAATTTCAAGCTGACTAACTTCAAGTTGGTCAGTTTTATGAATGGCATATCCACCTATTCCTATCCCTGCACTAGCAGCTACAGAAAGGAATATCCAGCCCACCACGATAGGTACGACCCTTCTTACTCTTATTGGGCCCATAAATTTTTTCGAGACAATTTCTCGAGTTCTCCTCGAAATAAAAGTTCATAATGCTCGTCGCATTTCTGCCTTAATTTCATGACGACTTTTGCAGAAAGTCCTTCCAGCGGAAGAAGTTCGCAAGGCGATACAAGGTTTATCTTGACCGTGACACTGTTGTGACCGATCACTGCTGGTTCGCCATTTCTTCTCCAAATTACTGGACTCCCCTCTTGAAGTTTATGACAACCCCCGAATCCCAAAGTCAGCATGTAAATTATTGTTGTAATAATCGACATGAGGTTCAAGTCAAACTTCTTACTTGCCTTCTGTTTTTGAGGCTCTTCTCTCTTCCTCTGCGGGTTCATTGGAGCCGATGCTGACACAGAATGCACAAACTGCTTATGAAATTGTTCTCCAATTTCACTCTTTTTCTTATCACACATGTACTCCCCTGCGAGTTGTTCTTTATGGCCTAAAAATACAGCTTTTCTGTCAACTGCATTTTTAACTGGATCAAGTCTCTCGGCCGAGCTAGCTTTGTCCAGTTTCTCAACTGGCTTAAACAGCATCACTTGCATGTTGTCGTCGTTTAATTTGGCTCGTAGACTTTCTTCTCCATCTGAAGTGAAGAAAATTGTTCCTTCTCTTGTGCTGCGAGTGTAAAAACCCTTCTTCAGCACACAATTTTTTGCGAATAAATTACTACCACCAGGTAAATAAAGCACATTTTTGATCTGAATTATTTCCCATTTCTTCAAAATAAGTGCTTGGAGAGTTACAACTCCTACCCCTGGACATTTAGCAAATTTATTTGCAGCAATTTGAAGTTTTCTCGGTACATCAAACTTCTCGTAAGACGTAAACCAATCGCTTCTCCCAGTGACGTGGACATTCGTACCACTATCACAAAACCAGACAAAATTATCTCGTGATGTCTGAGTTCCACTTTTTACCATGAAGGATTTCCCTGGCTGCGATTTAACTGGCTGCTTTTCTTCGCCTGATTCTTTTTCGTTTTTCTTCAAAAGGCTCCAGCAGTCAGCCTTATAGTGGCCCCTTTTACCACAAACATGGCACGTTCCTTGTTTCTTGCCACCCCCATTCACTGGGTTGACCTTTTTCTTGCCAGAGAAAGCCCTTTGACTCTGTCCTTCTTTATCCCACATCTCTTCACGAGATTCATGGATTTTTAATTTTTGAACTAGGTTTTCTACGGTTTTCTCTGCGTCAGGAACTACATCCCAGGATGCCACGAGACTATCAAATCTCGGCCCACTGAGTTCATGTAAAACTTTGCTGAGGATTGCATCTGCATCCAAGCTTTTGTAACCCATTGCATTTAGCTGCCCACTAATGGATTGCAGATTATTTATCAATTCGGTGGGAGTCTTTTCCCCCAAATTTGCTTTGTAAAACTCTTGCAGTAATTGCTGCTTTGTCCACTTATTAGACTTACCAAAAGTCTGATCCAAAGTGGTCCACATTGCTGCAGCTGTAGTAGAAGAAAAAATGTAACTTGTTAACTTCTCGTCAACAGTTTGCAGAATTATGGCCATTCCGGCCCTGTTGTTCATGTCCCAGGCTTTCTCTTTGTCTGGATCGGATGACGGTCTAGTTTCCTTCCCGAAAACTATTTCTTGTATTCCCGATGCCCAGAAAATATTTTCTAGTGTCAACTTCCATAACGAGAAGTTCCTGGCACCCTCAAGCTTTTTGACGTTGCTGTGGTCAATCTTTATCACTTTTGACATGGTGGAAACTTTTAAAGATAATTTTCAGAATTATCAGTAAAACGGTTTATTTAATTGTTCGTCTCACTTTCCTCACTGAAACTCTTTCTTGAGAGCTCCGTGCTGATAACGTGTTGAATTCAGAATTGTGAATTGAGAATTACCTT